TGCTATTTTGCTAGCTGCAATTATGTATTTATATCAACAAAGGGCTGGATTCAATCCGTATCGCTGAAGTATCGCGTAAGATCCACAATAAAATGTCAAGGTAATTTCCAGTTGAGCTGACGTTTACCGTGAATGCAGTCTCTGCGACAGCGGGAACATTGCCTTTAATTGTCAATCACGCTATAATTATTTGACATGAGGATGGTTTTCATGGTGTGTAGAATTCATTAGGGTGTGTGCTGAAGTGTTTAGATAACGACACTTTGCTTTCATGTGTCCCAGAGGGACGAGACCATGTGATTTCAAAGGAGACACAAAACAGGACTTTGGTTAAGAAAGAACAAATGTGGATACTGTATTTGAAATGTACAAAAGCTATATACAACACACACACACTCACACTGAGCATAGTCAAATGGATGAGCAGCATACCTATACATACTACAAGACTACTTTAATTCCAGCAAACAAACAAAATAAAAAATGAGGAGTTGCGGTACATCATTGTCCTTGATATGATTCGTAATCAAAGTAATACGTTCCTTATTTTACTCTCCATATAGTCCATGTCTAGCTCAGAGCTCAGGGAAGAGGGAGGGGTAATGAATCCACTAATTAGTGTGTGATCATGTCCACAGAGAACACATGGAGTACATGCATATTCCTTTAGAGATCTGATAACTCCTAGACATTGCGAGGCATGGGGATCTGTGTGTGTCTCCACAGACTGACTGACACTGAGGCAGATCTCTGTCCTTTTCAATCATACAGTCAGTCTCACAAGGAGGAGGGTCCATAGGGGGTTAGACAGCTTTTGGAGGGCACTTGGAGGATATTTTATACAGTATGACTGAAAGGGGCCATCTCGTACTGTATACTAGGGTCCGGTTTCCCGGACACAGATTAAGCCTAGTCCTGGACTAAAAATCATTTTCAATGAGAATCTCCACTGAGAATGGGTTTTAGTCTAGCACTAGGCTTAATCTGTGTCCGGGAAACCGGCCCTAAGAGCTTGGCATGGGAACCTGTTCCACTGCAAGCTCTTATATACATGGATGGATGTAAACAATGCAGCATCACAATGTTATATAGTGGATTCATACTGTACTCGGCTTGCAATAATTAAGTATCTTCAACATCATTTAAACCACGTACCATACAGTATATCTATAAACATTATGGAAGGTTGTAATGAGAAACATTATATTCTAATATTTTCATATGCATTTTTTCCTGGCAAAATCGTTGCATGGTCAAAAGTTTTGAGAATGACACAAATATTAATTTTCACAAAGTCTGCTGCCTCAGTTTTTATGATGGCAATTTGCATATACTCCAGAATGTTATGAAGAGTGATCAGATGAATTGCAATGAATTGCAAAGTCCCTCTTTGCCATGACAATGAACTTAATCCCCCAAAAACATTTCCACTGCATTTCAGCCCTGCCACAAAAGGACCAGCTGACATCATGTCAGTGATTCTCTCGTTAACACAGGTGAGAGTGTTGACGAGGACAAGGCTGGAGATCACTCTGTCATGCTGATTGAGTTAGAATAACAGACTGGAAGCTTTAAAAGGAGGGTGGTGCTTGAAATCATTGTTCTTCCTCTGTTAACCATGGTTACCTGCAAGGAAACACGTGCCGTCATCATTGCTTTGCACAAAAAGGGCTTCACAAGCAAGGATATTACTGCTAGTAATATTGCACCTAAATCAACCATTTATCAGATCATCAAGAACTTCAAGGAGAGAGGTTTAATTGTTGTGAAGAAAGCTTCAGGGCGCCCAGAAAGTCCAGCAAGCGCCAGGACCGTCTCCTAAAGTTGATTCAGCTGCGGGATCAGGTGTGAGTGCATCTGCACGCACAGTGAGACAAAGACTTTTGGAGGATGGCCTGGTGTCAAGAAGGGCAGCGAGGAAGCCACTTCTCTCAAGGAAAAACATCAGGGACAGACTAATATTCTGCAAAAGGTACAGGGATTGGACTGCTGAGGACTGGGGTAAAGTCATTTTCTCTGATGAATCCCCTTTCCAATTGTTTGGGGCATCCAGAAAAAAGCTTGTCCAGAGAAGACAAGGTGAGCGCTACCATCAGTCCTGTGTCATGCCAACAGTAAAGCATCCTGAGACCATTCATGTGTGGGGTTGCTTCTCAGCCAAGGGAGTGGGCTCACTCAAAATTTTGCCTAAGAACACAGCCATGAATTAAGAATGGTACCAACACATCCTCCGAGAGCAATTTCTCCCAACCATCCAAGAACAGTTTGGTGACGAACAATGCCTTTTCCAGCATGAGTGATAACTAAGTGGCTCGGGGAACAAAACATCGAAATTTTGGGTCCATGGCCAGGAAACTCCCCAGACCTTAATCCCATTGAGAACTTGTGGTCAATTCTCAAGAGGCGGGTGGGCAAACAAAAACCCACAAATTCTGACAAACTCCAAGCATTGATTATGCAAGAATGGGCTGCCATCAGTCAGGATGTGGCCCAGAAGTTAATTGACAGCACGCCAGGGCGGATTGCAGAGGTCTTGAAAAAGAAGGGTCAACACTGCAAATATTGACTCTTTGCATAAACTTAATGTAATTGTCAATAAAAGCCTTTGACCCTTATGGAATGCTTGTAATTATACTTCAGTATACCATAGTAACATCTGACAAAAATATCTAAAAACACTGAAGCAGCAAACTTTGTGAAGACCAATACTTGTGTCATTCTCAAAACTTTTGACCACGATTGTATGTACGTTTTATGAGTTCACATATTATTCAAACTTGATCTTTTTAGCAAGGCACTTTGTGAACTGCTTTCAGCGCACTGCTTTTTAAAAGGTACAGTTGAAGTCGGAAGTTTACATACACTTAGGTTGGAGTCATTAAAACTTGTTTTTCAACCGCTCCACAAATGTCTTGTTAACAAACTATAGTTTTGGCAAGTCGGTTAAGATATCTACTTTGTGCATGACACAAGTAATTTTTCCAACAATTGTTTACAGACAGATTATTTCACTTATAATTCACTGTATCACAATTCCAGTGGGTTAGAAGTGTACATACACTAAGTTGACTGTGCCTTTAAACAGCTTGGAAAATTCCAGAAAATGATGTCATGGCTTTAGAAGCTTCTGATAGGCTAATTGAAATAATTTGAGTCAATTGGAGGTGTACCTGTGGATGTATTTCAAAGCCTACCTTCAAACTCAGTGCCTCTTTGCTTGACATCATGGGAAAATCAAAAGAAATCAGCCAAGACCTCAGAAAAATGTTTGTAGACCTCCACAAGTCTGGTTCATCCTTGGGAGCAATTTCCAAATGCCTGAAGGTATCACGTTCATCTGTACAAACAATAGTGCGCAAATATAAACACCATGGGACCACGCAGCCGTCATACCGCACAGGAAGGAAACACGTTCTGTCTCCTAGAGATGAACGTACTTTGGTGCGAGAAGTGCAAATCAATCCCAGAACAACAGCAAAGGACCTTGTGAAGATGCTGGAGGAAACAGGTACAAAAGTATCTATATCCACAGTAAAACGAGTCCTAACCTGAAAGGCCGCTCAGCAAGGAAGAAGCCACTGCTCCAAAACCGCCATAAAAAAGCCAAACTACGGTTTACAACTGCACATGGGGACAAAGATCGTACTTTTTTGAGAAATGTCCTCTGGTCTGATGAAACAAAAATAGAACTGTTTGGCCATAATGACCATCGTTATGTTTGGAGGAAAAAGGGGGACGCTTGCAAGCCGAAGAACACCATCCCAAGCATGAAGCACGGGGGTGGCAGCATCATGCTGTGGGGGTGCTTTGCTGCAGGAGGGACTGGTGCACCTCACAAAATAGATGGCATCATGAGGAAGGAAAATTATGTGGATATATTGAAGCAACATCTCAAGACATCAGTCAGGAAGTTAAAGCTTGGTCGCAAATGGGTCTTCCAAATGGACAATGACCCCAAGCATACTTCCAAAGTTGTGGCAAAATGGCTTAAGGACAACAAAGTCAAGGTATTGGAGTGGCCATCACAAAGCCCTGACCTCAATCCTATAGAACATTTGTGGGCAGAACTGAAAAAGCGTGTGCGAGCAAGGAGGCCTACAAACCTGACTCAGTTACACCAGCTCTGTCAGGAGGAATGGGCCAAAATTCACCCAACTTATTGTGGGAAGCTTGTGGAAGGCTACCCAAAATGTTTGACCCAAGTTAAACAATTTAAAGGCAATGCTACCAAATACTAATTGAGTGTATGTAAACTTCTGACCCACTGGGAATGTGACAAAATAAATAAAAGCTGAAATAAAGAATTCTCTCTACTATTATTCTGACATTTCACATTCTTAAAATAAAGTGGTGATCCTAACTGACCTAAGACAGAGCATTTTTACTATGATTAAATGTCAGGAATTGTGAAAAACTGAGTTTAAACGTATTTGGCTAAGGTGTATGTAAACTTCCGACTTCAACTGTAAGAAACGTCAACAAATACTGAGCAATGGACACTTATTTGCCAATTTATTTTTATACCTTGGTCTATTTTTATTCGTAGATACAAAGTATGGCTTTTTAAAACAGTGATAAAAATGCCACTTATGCCTTTACTATACTTACTTTATCAACATAAACATTACTTAAAATGTACTTGAGCAAATATTACATATTACTGGATAAGCAAAGTCTTTATACAGGCCGGTGGAGATCGACATTCTCTTGATAAGTAACTATTTCCATAAGGTATTGTTACATATAATCAGAGCTTTTATAGTACATTTTTCATGATGCTTTCTTAAAATGGTCTGAATACTCAAGGGGGGCGTCCCAATAATCTCTCCTTCCTCCTGAAGTGTGCACTACTCCCCACAAATTAAAAAGCATTGGATTGGTGTAGGTATGGACTAGACTAGAGGGAGTTTCCATACACCAATCATTTCCTTTCAAATTCATGAAGGGAAGTGAACATGTGAACACTTCGGGAGAAAGACTATTGGGACGCAGCCAAGGCATTAGCTCATCATGTTGAGAAACTTGCTCTCCTCAGCCAGGGCGGTCAACATGGAGCTCATATCGCCGATGGCCATGTTACCGATCCCTGCTGGCACCGAGGCCAGGGTCACAGAGTTACGGGGGGTCGTGAGCCTGGAGGAGTTCTGGGACAGACTTGTGAGGAGTCCGGGGCTGAGGGTCCCCGACATCAGGCTGGAGTGGTCGCCATCATCCAACATGGCATCAAAGTCAATCTGGGCGTGCTCCACACCAGAGGTCGATCCAGAGGAGCCAGAGGAGTCCACGGTGCTGGTGACCTGGTTGACCCCTGGGGATGCCATGATAACGGCGGTGCCTACCGGTGCCTGGGGCGTGCAGGGGGACATGGAGGAGTCAAAACTCAGGTTGTTGTTGGACTCGAACATGTGTATCTGGCCAGCATAGAACATTGGAGCGTTAGAGTTGGAGTTTCCATTTTGTAAGACGTTATGTGCTGCGGTGCGGCCTGGCCTCTTTGGACTGGCCTCAGAGGTGTTGTGATTGAAGTCAGACTGAAGGAAACGGTTCTGCATCGTACTGCTGGATCCTGCATGTTGTCTGGACATAGACTTGGGCTCCATGGGAAGTCTGGGCTGCATCCCATCTCTGGTCCCAGTATGGACGGCTTGCTGCTGAGGCATACTACTCATGTTCTGCTGCTCAACCTGATTCATCTGAGGGGGATAGCTTTCAACCTGAGTCCTTGATCTGTAGTTTTGAATATCTGGATTCTGTGTTGCCATTACTCTGCCATTGGGCAGTGCCATACCGTTGTAGTTGGGTCGTAGGCTGCCATTCCCAGATCCAGAGTTAGGTATGGGGACGATCTCTTGGCCATATCCTTGCTGGGGACTCATCTGCTCAGTATAATTCATGCTGCATGGCTGCCTCTGTTGCTGATGGACAGAGTTGATCCTCTGGGCGTTGCTTCTCTGGGTGTAGCCTTGTAGTGTCATGTTCTGGCTCATAGGCATCACCTGCTGGTTACTGTTACTACCCATACTACCCTGGAAAGGCCCACAGTTCTGTCTGAGGATGTTCTGCTTGGTGAGTCTGGAGGTGGCTGTGGCATCCACAGTCCCTGAGCTGACCTCGTTCCACTGCACTGGCATGTTGTTTTTGTTGTTCATACTGGGTGAGGTTGGGTACTGCTGTTGTTGCGACCCAGAACCAGGGCTCATCTGGTAGGGTGGTAGGGGGGCCTGGCCTGACTCAGATAGGGGCATGTTGGTATCCACCATGGCCATCCTCCTTTGCCCATAGAACTGCTGCTGGGGCTGCTGGGAGGAGGTCATATTCACTTGGACCGGGAAGCCGTGTGATTGGCTGTTGGCATAGTCGGCGTGGCCTGCTGATTGGCCGGGGCCAGTGTTCTGAGACCTGAGGTACTGTACGACATCATCAGGTAGCACCATGTCCTCGTCCCCTGCATGGTCCAGCCCGTCCACAGCCATGGTCTCCATCACCACGTTCTCTGATATGCTGGGGGGCCGCGGGGCGAAGGGGTGGCGGTGCAGGCTTCCGTCGGACCGCGTGTAGCCCTGCATGGCCAGGCCCTGGCGATCGGTAGAGGGAGGAGGCATCATGGAGTTGGGGTTCATACTGTTCATGCTGTTGTAGCGCTGGACCCTTGGCAGGGACAGTGGGTCCAAGGTGGGTCTGCGGACAGGATCGCTGGCTCGCCGTGGCAGGTTCCCAGGGACCTCGTGGGGCATCATACTATGGTTACCGTAGCCGATGTCGCTGCAGCGTCTGGGCACTGCTCCGGCAGGGGGGTGGAACAGGTGGTAGTTGGAGGAGCTCTCCCTCTCCTGGGAGTGGTCCCCGTACAGGGCCATCCTGGTCCTGAGGCTCATTCGCTCCATGTTGGGCAGAGGTGTGGGTGGAGCGCCCCCAGTTGCGGCAGCATACTTGGCCTTGAGATGGTAGTGCTGAGCCGGGGTGAGGCTGAGCAAACTAGGGAGGTTTCCACCACCACACTGGCTGGCCTCGCTGGATCTCCGGGACAGGTCTGTGGAGATGGGGTCATAGGAGTCGGCTGAGCTGATGTTGTTGTGGCGGTTGCTGAACTGCGAGGCTTCGGAAGATCGGCGGCTGGAGTAGCAGGGGGAGATGCCTGAGGAGCGCCGGCTGGCATAGGCTGAACTGGCAGTGCTGGTGTTGCTGTACCGGCGGCCCTGCTCGTTCAGCTGGTTCAGCATGGTCACCTCGCATGACGACAGGTCACCAAGACGCTGACCAGGGTAGGGCCCAGGTGGAGCGATCATATTGGAGTTCTCCAGAAGGAAACCTGAGGAACCACATTTGAACATATTGGGCAAAACAACTTTCTTGGTTTCTAAGGCTGCTTCACATATTCCTCCCAACTCCATCTCTCCTATTATGGATTTTTTGTTGTTGTTGTAATTTGTACCCCCCAATTAGTAGTTATGGTCTTGTCCCATCGCTGCAACTCCCGTACAGACTCGGGAGAGGTGAAGGTCGAGAGCCATGCGTCCTCCGAAACACTCTTTGCTTAACCCGGAAGCCAGCCACACCAATGTGTCGGAGGAAACACCGTACAACTGGCGACCGTGTCAGCGTACATGCGCCCGGCCTGCCACAGGAGTCGCTAGAACGCGATGGGACAAGGATATCCTGGCCGGCCAAACCCTCCCCTAACCCGGACAACGCTGGGCCAATTGTGCTGCGCCTCATGGGTCTCCCGGTCGCGGCCGGCTGCGACACAGCCCGGGATCGAACCCGGATCTGTAGTGACGCCTCAAGCACTGCGATGCAGTGCCTTAGACCGCTGCGCCACTCGGGAGGCCCTAGCAATAATATTTTAACAAGATAATATTGACAGTTCTTAACAACAGTTGTTATCAAAAACTCTATATAAAACTCTTACCAACAGCAGGAATAGGAGGCAGCTTGGTGTTGGTGTTCCGGACCTGAGGACCAGAGTTGGCCCAGGGACATGAGTCCCTCACGTTCTTCAGCCTCTCCTTGATGTTCTCCAGCTTGATGGTGACTCCTCCCCCTTTACGGAGCCCAAGCCCCACCCCTGCTGAGTTGCCGTGGGAGAGGGTGGAGGAGTCCATCATGGGAGGGTCGTCCTGTGCACTCAGGTCCCCAAAGCTGCCCCCGCTGTGCAGGACCATCTCTACTCCACTTTCATTGATGTTGGCACTGCCAAGTGGCGATGGCTCACTGCTACATGATGAGTGACCGCCAGGGCTGGATTGATACGTCTGGAGAGGGGGACAGGATAGATGGTTCATGTTAGACACCAGATCAAGCCTATCAAGGGCTTTTCATATTACTAAGTTGAACTGAGCCGAGCCAAACCAAGCTCTACTGAGTGGTTTTGTTCGGGTTGGCATGGTAGTGTGAAAAGGGTACCACTGTCAGACCAATTCAGGGCATGGTCATTGTAAAAATATGCTTAAAGGCCCAGTGCAGTCAAAAACAGGATTTCTCTGTGTTTTATATATATATTCACACTATGAGGTTAGAATAATACTGTGAAATTGTGAAAAATATGATAATGCCCTTTTAGTGTAAGGTCTGAAATTTCAGCCTGTTTTGGTGGGATGGAGTTTTGGGCTTGCCTGGTGACATCACCAGGCAGTACGTTTGTTATTAGACCAATAAGAAAGAGTTCCAAACCTCTCTGCCAATAACAGCTAGTTTTCAGTTTCCCCTCCCCACTCAGACCACTCCCAGACAGTCCTAGCTAAATTCTTGCTTGAGAAATCGCTCTTTGCTAAGAAGCTATTTTTGTTTCTTTTTGACCATTTTAATTTAAAACAATCACAGTAAGTTCCTTAATTGTTACACAGAAATAATTTGATATTGAGATAAAAATGGCTGTATTGGTTAATATATTAAATACTGGAATACAGTTGCACAATTCTGAATAATCAAGTATATAAACTCTATGCAAAATTAAATAAATGATGTAGCCTAGCTATAGTTTCATAATCTTATTTATCATAGATTTGTTGGATTCATTTACAAAGAAAACAAGTCTATTGTGGAGGGATGGAGGGATACTGTGAGTCTCATCACAGTCAAGTGTTGATAGTGATTCATTCTGACCCAGACTGAACTAGAAAGAGTCTTGATCACAGCTTGATTGCTGGCACTATTTGTTCCAGGCACATGCTGAACAGTCCCGTTCTTTGAATATTAATTTGATAATGACTTTTATCATGGCCCGACAGACATTACTGTCAGATCTCGAAGGCCACAGAGGAATATAACTGAATAAAGTGTGTGTGTGTGTGTGTGTGTATGTGTGAATGTGTGTGTGTACAAGGGGGGAACATTTCACAGTACATCACAACTCATGCAAAAACATCAAACTGTAGACAGTACAGTATAGGCTTTTAAAACCAGAAGCGCTTGGAAAGTGCTTGGTGTAATCCTCTGTTCTTTCATACATAGAGGAACAGAGTAGTGCAATTTCAAATGTATTGATGCAAAATTGACATGCAGAGTTAGAAAGCATTGAAATGAAAGAGAAGAATGTGGTGGTGCTCACCTCTGAGAAGCCTGTCCGTTAGGGAAAGTGTTAAGGAAAAAGAAGAACATTCAAGTAGTGACCAGAGAGGTGAGTTGGATAAGGAGAAGGATAGACCATCAGCAGGTAAATTATCCATCACAGATCAGTTAGCGTGAAAGGTGATGGGATAGATGGTGAAATGCTTGCATTTGCGTCACAAGACTCAAATAACATAGAACATGTACACTACCGGTCAAGGGTTTTTCTAGATTTTTTACTATTTTCTACCTTGTAGAATAATAGTGAAGACATCAAAAATATGAAATAACACATATGCAATCATGTAGTATTTGAGATTTCTTCAAATAGCCACCCTTTGCCTTGATGACAGCTTTGCACACTCTTGGCATTCTCTCAACCAGCTTCATGAGGTAGTCACCTGGAATGCATTTCAATTAACAGGTGTGCCTTCTTAAAAGTTAATTTGTGGAATTTCTTTCCTTCTTAATGCGTTTGAGCCAATCAGTTGTGTTATGACAAGGTAGGGGGGGGGGGTATACAGAAGATAGCCCAATTTGGTAAAAGACCAAGTCCATATTATGGCAAGAACAGCTCAAATAAGCAAAGAGAAACGACAGTCCATCATTACTTTAAGACATGAAGGTCAGTCAATACGGAACATTTCAAGAACTTTGAATGTTTCTTCAAGTGCAGTCTCAAAAACCATCAAGCGCTATGATGAAACTGGCTCTCATGAGGACCGCCACAGGAATGGAAGACCCAGAGTTACCTCTGCTGCAGAGGATAAGTTCATTAGAGTTACCAGCCTCAGAAATTGCTGCCCAAATAAATGCTTCACAGAGTTCAAGTAACAGACACATCTCAACATCAACTGTTCAGAGGAGACTGTTTGAATCAGGCCTCCACGGTCGAATTGCTGCAAAGAAACCAATAATAAGAAGAGACTTGCTTGGGCCAAGACACACGAGCAATGGACATTAGACCGGTGGACATGTGTCCTTTGGGCTGGAGTCCAAATTTGAGATTTTTGGTTCCAACCGCCGTGTCTTTGTGAGATGCGGTGTGGGTGAACGGATGATCTCTGCATGTGTAGTTCCCACTGTAAAACATGGAGGAGGAGGTGTTATTGTGTGGGGGTGTTTTGTTGGTGACACTGTCTGTGATTTAATTAGAATTCAAGGCACACTTAACCAGCATGGCTACCACAGCATTCTGCAGCGATACGCCATCCCATCTGGTTTGGGCTTAGTGGGACTATCATTTGTTTTTCAACAGGACAATGACCCAACACCTCCAGGCTGTGTAAGGGCTATTTTACCAAGAAGGAGAGTGATGGAGTGCTGCATCAGATGACCTGGCTTCCACAATCCCCCGACCACAACCAAAATGAGATGGTTTGGGATGAGTCGGACCACAGAGTGAAGGAAAAGCAGCCAACACGTGCTCAGCATATGTGGGAACTCCTTCAAGACTGTTGAAAAAGCATTCCAGGTGAAGCTGGTTGAGAGAATGCCAAGAGTGTGCAAAGCTGTCATCAAGGCAAAGGGTGGCTATTTGAAGAATCTCAAATATAAAATATATTTTGATTTGTTTAACACTTTTTTGGCTACTACATGTATTATTTCATAGTTTTGATGTCTTCACTATTATTCTACAATGTAGAAAATAGTAAAAAGAAAGAAAAACCCTTGAACGAGTAGGTGTTCTAAAACTTTTGACCGGTAGTGTATGAATGGTACTGTTAGGATTTGTATTGACAGTATTAAGTAGTTAGTAGTTGAGAGGATTTTGACAATAGTCTAAGTCAATGCTTTGTTAAACAAGTAGTGGTGATGACACAATGGAATGTCACACCCAGTCTTACCATCGAGTTCTCGGTCTTGATTGACTTGACCTGCAGGCAGTCCTCCACTCCTCTAGTAATGCTGTTGGCCTCCATCTTTCCATCTATTCCTCTACCACTCTGTTTAGCGTTTGCCTCGTTCTCTCCATTCCCCTTTGGAGGACCCCTGGGGGGCACATCACCACGTTGTTTCTTCGTGACGTGTGCCTCTGGTCCGTGAACCGTCTTCACATGCTTCCTGAGAGAGCTGGGGTCTGTGTAGCGCTTAGTGCACCCAGGGATCTTACAGATGTAGGGTTTCTGGGAAGAAGAATTTAAAATGAAGTCTTACTATCTCATGTTTATGTTGATTACTTATTGCATCCATTGTCTTAACAAATAGAGAATAAGTTGATTGCATATTGGACATAGAGCTCCTTGAATGAGAAAACACAATGCATTTAAATGTGCATTAGTTGATTTAAATAATGGCAGTGAGTACATACTGTACGTAGATGTAGCTCAATGTATGTCTCTGAGGTGATTGTCTATAGGAGCCTTACCTCATTGGAGTGTGTGCGGTTCTGGTGCTTGGCTCTGTCTGAGGCGTTGGAGAAGGCTTTGTTGCAGCCCTCGTGTTCACAAACATACGGCTTCTCCCCTGTGTGGGACCTCAGGTGGGTCTTCAGGTTCTCCAGGCGAGAGTAGGCCTTACAGCATCCTTCAAACTAGAGAGAGGGACGGAGGGAGGGAGGGAGGGAGGGAGGGAGGAGATATGGAGACAAAGGTCAGTTAGCAATAGCCTCAGAGACTCTTACATGTATCACACAAAAGTATTTAAGCAAGGTAAGAGACCATGGAGAGCTTTGTTGAAACAAAGCATCAGAGCTGTTCTGTGTTTAGCTTTGGTATGCTACAATAGGCTATGCATTGATTTGGTATTCCTTCAGAGCGCCGTACTGTGCTGTGCACTGTGGGTAATTGACAGTGAGTGTGAGATGTGATCAAACTATATTTGCTCAAAAGTGGACATAAAATACCTAAGATCCTCCCTTCAAAAACACAACATTTGCTAGAGAGGGAGATAGCTGGGGGTGAATGAGTGTCACGCCCTGGCTCTGGGGACTATGTTATGTTGAGCCAGGGTGTGTAAGTCTATGTTTTGTATATCTATGTTGGCCTGAGTGACTCCCAATCAGAGGCAACGAGTGTCAGCTGGTTGTCTCTGATTGGGAGCCATATTTAACTATCGGTCTTTTCACTTTGTGTTGTGGTTTCTTGTTCCTTTTGGTTTGTGTGTATCGAAGGACTTCACGTTTCGTTCGTTGTTTTGATCGGGTGATCTGTTTAATAAATAATATGTACGCATTCAACGCTGCGCATTGGTCCTCCTCCTTAAGCGAACGTGACAGAAGAAACCACCAAGAATGGACCAAGCAGCGTGAAGAGGAGAGAGGAAGGACCTGGGATCAGGGGAGTAGGAGTTTCGGCTGGGCCACGCTAAGTGAAGAGGAGAGAGGCTGGTCTATGAAGCAATGGATCGAGAGTCTGGCGAGAGCTAGGGAGGCCTGGTCCACGGGGAGGAGAGAACCCCAGAAAATTTTTAGGGGGGGGCTCACGACGTGGACGACGGGGCAGCAGGAGGCCGCGATGGAGCGGTCCAGCGGGTGTGAAGAGGAGGCCGCCAGGTTAAGGGGGCCACTGGTCACAGAGGAGAGGGAAAGTGTGGAGGCACGGCGAGAGGTACTGGGGTGTATTACCAGTCCGGTCCGGCCCGTTCCTGATCCCTGCATAGGGCCAGTGGCGTGTGTCCCCAGTACGGTTCGGCCTGTTCCTGCCTCTCGCACCGAGCCTGTGGTGCGCGTCGTCAGCCCTGTCCGGCCCGTTCCTGCTCTCCGTACCAAGTCGGTGGTGCGCGTCGTCAGTCCGGCACGGCCCGTTCCTGCTCTCCGCACCAAGTCTGTGGTGCGCGTCGCCAGCCCAGTCCGGCCCATCCAAGCTTCCCGCACCAAGCCAGTGGTGTGCGTCGTCAGTCCGGCACGGCCCGTGCCTGCTCTCCGCACCAAGTCTATGGTGCGTTTCGTCAGCCCTGTCCGGCCCGTGCCTGCTCTCCGCACCAAGTCTGTGGTGCGCGTCGCCAGCCCAGTCCGGCCCATCCAAGCTCCCCGCACCAGGTCAGTGGTGCGCGTCGTCAGCCCGGTCCGGCTCATTCCTGCTCCCCGCACCAAGTCAGGGGTGCGCTTCGTCAGCCCGGTCCGGCATGTTCCTCCTCCACGCATCAAGCCAGGGGTGTGCGTCGTCAGTCCAGCACAACCCGTGCCTGGGTCATGTCCGGAGCCGGATCCGCCGCCGAGGCGGAGTGCCCACCCGGTCCCTCCCCTGTTGTGGTTGTTTGGCGTGGCCGGAGTCCGCGCCTTTGGGGGGGGGTACTGTCACGCCCTGGCTCTGGGGACTATGTTATGTTGAGCCAGGGTGTGTAAGTCTATGTTTTGTATATCTATGTTGGCCTGAGTGACTCCCAATCAGAGGCAACGAGTGTCAGCTGGTTGTCTCTGATTGGGAGCCATATTTAACTATCGGTCTTTTCACTTTGTGTTGTGGTTTCTTGTTCCTTTTGGTTTGTGTGTATCGAAGGACTTCACGTTTCGTTCGTTGTTTTGATCGGGTGATCTGTTTAATAAATAATATGTACGCATTCAACGCTGCGCATTGGTCCTCCTCCTTAAGCGAACGTGACAATGAGATTCATGTGGGATTTACCAACTAAACTATATAGTACAGTAGGTCTTAATAAGGACCCACGGCCCCCTACTTCTCTTTACACTTTAATAACTAATATCCTCCCCTCCTGTCAATCAGCCTTGTGAAGTCTCCTCTTCTCAGAAGTATTTTAATGGACTGGACTCACAAGGCCTCATCAATGAGCTTTGAAGCTGAGGAAACTACACACTGAATTTGATCATCATGAGTGGACTGCATGCTACAGATGAGGCCCTTTGGAACGCCCGGAAAACTCATCTAGATGGAGAGGAAGGATCGCTACTGGTAAGAAACAGGCTTGGAGTGAAAAAATAGTTATTACAGGGTGCAATGCATAACCCTATCTAGAGGTAGGACTTGTGTAGAAATGTGTATAATACAAGGAGAGATGGTTATGTGAGTGGCTTATCCATGACATATAATAGAAGGCTCTGGGCTTATTTAAATAATATGTACATGCCCAGGTGCTTGTTGGGAGTTGGAGTACTTACTGTGCATTTATGTGGCTTCTCCCCAGTGTGCCTCCTCATGTGGACCACCAGCATGTACTGAGCCTTGAAGGGCTTCTGTTCCCGCGAGCACTCATCCCAACGGCACACAAACTCTTTCTTCTCCCCATGGATGTGGTCGTTGTTGATGTGCTGAAGAGAGAACAGGGGAACATGGGAGTAAAACAAAGCAGACACATCCATGTATCTCAACTTGTTTCAGGATATGGTCTTCTCAATCAACTGTCAGATTTGTTTATGTCTTTAAACCTGTCCCTTTCCTGCTCATTTGAGGTGGGATGGTGTGTGTGTGTGTGTGTGGAGAAGCCAGATGTTCAATCAGCAAAGAGCTTGTGAGAGCAGGCCTCCCAAACATCCCTCTCTGAGTTCCCACCAGAGAGGAACAACCTTCTTCTCTTCCCTTCCCCAAGCCAGACCACGAGTGACAACACCATCCATCATGGGTGACAGTACGTTTCCATTCGTCGCGTTGTAGACAAAGGGTTGTGATGTGTTAGTGGCGGGACTGTTTTGTCAGGCCCTGCGTCTCACACACACACGCACACATGCGGGCACGCACACACTGTTTTCTCAGGTCCTTTATGCGTCAGAGGGAGGGGACTTCCTTAACTACCCGGAGGAGGAATTAGGATCAGGAGTTATCCTGACTTGTCAGACTGTCACACCTGAGATTTACACACATCCCCTGAATCTCTCTCCTTTTAATCAGGGACCAATGGTGTGTTCCCTGATCAGATGTACATGCTTCAACGGCTGATTATGTTTTCTGACATATACATTAAGAACACCTTCCTAATAATGCATTGCACCCCCCCCCCCCCCCCCCCTTTGCCCTCAGAACAGCCTCAATTAATCGGGGCATGGACTCTACAAGGTGTTGAAAGCGTTCTACAGGGACGCTGGCTCATATTGACTCCAATGCTTCCCACAGTTGTCAAGTTCGCTGGATGTCCTTTAGGTGGTGGCCCATTCTTGATACACACAGGAAACTGTTGAGCGTGAAAAACCCAGCAGCGTTGCAGTTCTCGACACAAACCGGTGTGCCTGGCACCTACTAACATACCCCATTCAAAGGCACTTAAATATTTTGTCCTGCCCATTCACCCTCTGAATGGCGCACATACACAATCCATTTCTCAATTGTCTCAAGGCTTAAAAATCCTTGTTTAACCTACCTCCTCCCCTTCATCTACACTGATTTGAAGTGGATTTAACAAGTGACATCAATAAGGGATCATAGCTTTCACCTGGATTCACCTGGTCAGTCTATGTCATGGAAAGAACAGTTGTTCCCAATGTTTTGTACACTCAGTGTATACGCATAAATCTTTTACTTGAGGATTTCAAAAACATGACAGTGATTGGACATAAATGTCTAGAGTTACATTCCATTGAGCTACAGAAAACTAACTGAGAATGAAAAACACTGATTTCTTGTTTTGAGGGAACTGCCTGTCTTGTGTGGTCAGGAGGGTAGGAGGAGTCGCTCTGTCATTCTGCTGTACTGTCTAGGATGACCCTGTCTGGTGCCCCTCCATTTCCCCTAAGCCCTTAATTACAGTATATCCCGTCCTTTAGGGTCAGACCCCTGAATACTCACGTTACACACACACACACACACACACACACACACACACACACACACACATACACACACACACACACACACACACACACACACACACACACACACTCACTCACTCACTCACACACACTCACACAACCACACAACCACATGGCAAATATTCACACCCCCAGGTAAATCAATGCATTTCCTCTGAACCTTTACCCTGTACTATACCTTACTCATGTGGCCACTGTCACAAGCAAGAAGCAAATGGAGCAAGATTCCATCTCCTCTTCAAGTCGGTTACGTCCCATATGCCACCCTATTCCCTAAAGAGTGCACTACTTTTGACCAGAGCCCTATAGGGAATAGGGTGCCATTTGGGATGCAGCTGTATACCCACTGACTCGGTTAGCGGTTGAGGATCTTTCCTACCCAGTTCCTTTTTAGAGAAGGAGGAGTGTGTGCCCTGCAGCAGTACTCTTCATACCATACTGAAACCATAATATGGGGCTATTGGGGAAGTATTACTTTGGGTAAATAGAACCTAGAAGCTCTATGCCATCATTTAGTCATTTTTCAAGGTGTGATTTCACTGGTGAGAACATTGTGTGAAACCTTGGATCTACAGTACAGGGGCAGTAATGTAGATGAAGGTATAAAGTTCTATCAAGCTCTTGACAGCAGACTCTCAGCTATTACATCTACATCTACATAGATATGTCATTAGAAGTTACTGTAACAAGAGACTCATTCATAAATACATTCATTATTTCATAACACTGTATTTCCAATTGACATTTACTGTTAGCATTTTCCTTCCTGGCTGCCTAACCCTTGTTCCAGAGAGTTGTGGTATGTTCTTTGCTTCACGTTGTCCATCCACACCAGCAGGCCCTGGCTCTGTTTTCTGATCCTCTCAACCCCTGACAGAGCAGCAGAGTAGGGGGAATGGATGCTGGAACTAACTGGGGCTGGTCTGGACTAGCCCTCTGTCAGGACAGAATGGGACCGAGAGGCTGGGTGGCAGGAGGAGGGGGGAGAAGTGAGAGGGTGGGGGAGGAGAGGGGAGTGAAAGGGGGAAAGATGGGGTAAAAGGGGTTCTTAGTTGGCTCTCCTCCTGGACTTGCCTTGTCAGGACAGACTGGGGCCGGGGGGCTGAGAGTGGAGGGAGAGGGTGGAAAGGGGGAGAAAGGGGCTCCAAGGTGAATCAACACCTGACCCGTAACACTGGGAGTTAGAGACTCAAGACCACTGCAGACTCAGCTCAGAGACTCCCAGTCTGGGTACTGGGCTGACATATGCCCCCTGCCACCTGTCTGTCAGGTTGGGGAAACCCAATTGTTAATCACAGCCTATGGGAGTGGAGCAGTAGAGAAGGCTGCATCGGGAGTTTCGTAGAGAAGAAAGGAATAGAACAGAGTTCAGAAGTCAGAGCCAGGGGTTGGGGGTCACAGCTGCAGGGCCATTAGTGTACCTCTGTCTCCTCAGTCAGAATCAACAGGCCTCATTAACCCTGCGCGTGGCCGCCACAGGAAAGGATCAACAGCTGTGACCCCTAACCCCTGGCTCTGACCTGGCACTGACTGGTTAAATCTTAAACCTGACCGCACTGACTCTAACACTGCACAATTTAATGAGGAGCAGAGGAGGCCGTTTTGAACTTTAAACATTTTTGTTAAATGGGAGGGTGTCTTTTGGACTTTTTCCTGTATCTGTATGATACCTCTCTCTCTCTCTCTCTCTCTCTCTCTCTCTCTCTCTCTGTCAAACACATGGTTTCCATGTGTTTGATACCATTCTGTTCACTCCATTCCAGCCATTATCCTCCCCTCACCAGCCTCCTCTGATTGGCACCCCATGTCATTGTAATAGCAGAGAATAGTTAATTTGTTGAAGAGTGTTAGCAGACTGTCCCATAAGCTAAATGGAACAGTCTACTGAAAGTCACAGGCATACCCCTGGCTGTAATGGCACCAGCAGCTCCCTACTCACAGATGTCCTAACTCTCTGAGGTAATTAAAGATCACTTTTATTTTACATTTACGTCATTTAGCAGATGCTCTTATCCAGAGCGACTTACAGTTAGTGAGTGCATACATTTTCATACTGGCCCCCCGTGGGAAACAAACTCACAACCCTGGCATTGCAAGCGCCATGCTCTACCAACTGAGCTACACGGGTTACCAACATATTCAAATAATGATTGACATATTTTCATTAAAAACGTTATTTTGATGAATTTATTCATACTATTTCATCCTTTAACCTAAACTTTATCCTTCAACTAGCCGGTGCCCCCGCACATTGACTCTGCAACGGTACCCCCCTGTATATATAGCCTCCCTACTGTCACTTTATTTTACTTCTGCTCTTTTTTTCTCAACACTTTTTTTGTTGTTGTTTTATTCTTACTTTTTTTGTTTAAAATAAATGCACTGTTGGTTAAGGGCTGTAAGTAAGCATTTCACTGTAATGTCTGCACCTGTTGTATTCGGCGCATGTGACCAATAAAATTTGATTTGATTTTGATTTGATTTGACACAAATGTAGGGTTGCTACCCAAGCCGGCTGGTCTTTCATTGTATCGGTTCGGTTGCCAGAGACGCGACCCAGTCGTTCAGTCTTTTTGTTCTGTATGTATGGACGCGACCCAGTCATTCATTCTAAATGTTCTATTGCCATACTGGCTGGCAATGTTCTTATCCCTTGCTTGCTAGCTAGCCAACTACGGCTAACTTACAGTCACGTCAAACAGTGCAGCCAGAATAACAGCAAAGTAGCTGCATTTGCGTTTGTTTTGTTTAAGCTGTTTTCTAGTGACATTAATTTGGATACATCCATAACAATGAGCTATTGATGCTTGATTTCAACTGGCATAGAAAATGCACTCTCTCGTCAGGACACTGTCATTCAGAGGAGCTAGCCAACAACACAGCTAACACAATCACTTCAAACTGAAGCTGGAAAGACTGCAAACTTACTGCACTTCGTTTCATTTGACCTGTTTTCTACTGACATTTCTTTGTATATATCCATAAAAATGATGCTGATTCATGATTTCAACTTGCTGAAAAAAGCTGCCTGCCTGTCGGTCTGTCTGTCTCATCCCGACTCCCGACCCCTAATGTTCATTGCTATGGAACAGCTGGAGATCGAATTTCAATATTGAAACAATGTTGCAAATGTCAGAGACACAGACAGCAAGTTTATTACAAATCTCCGCTGTTGAAAACCAATTGCTAGTCTAAAGGAAATGGGAGATAATGTCTAGATGCTGTTTACAGTGGAGATCAAGTATATAAAATGTCTGGCAGAGCTGATGAGAGAGTGGATTGCGCAGTGAGATGGAACAGAGTAAATAGTTTCAACATCATAGATTTAGCCGGTGGTAACTTGTGGAATAGACACCGGCTGCAATGCGGTTTTAACCAATCAGCATCCAGGTTTAGACCCACCCGTTGTATAATTTCTAATAACTCACGTGAACGAGCTGGTCCTGGGTGTCGTACTCCTTGCTGCAGCCGTCCCAGTGACAGTTGGTCTCGTAGACAGCCTCTGGCTCCTGCTTCCATTCCTCTTTATCCAGTTCCTCACTCAGGTCCAGGACATGCTCCTGTGGATCAGAGGACTCCGTCAGAGAGGTGTTCATGACTGTGTCTGACGTGTATGCACGCACACAGTGTGTGTGTTAAGTGTGTGTGTGTGTGTGTGTTGACAATAGCATATCACTACCAACTATACTGTACTAATCTGCTTCCTGATGATCTAAGATTGCTTTTGCGCAATTCGCTGTAAAGATAAGAAAAAGTA